TGCGTGTTTTCTGCCTTTCTCCAATCTTCGTGTATCGCAGACAGTCGCTCAACCGATCTTAGGTTGGTCCCCCCTGAGTGCAATCACAGATCAGTAATCTGAAGATTGCTACAACATATCCGAAGACACAGGACGCGAACGTGAATTCAAATCTTTAAACCCTATCAAACCTCGCGTCAGCCGAACGCCGCGAGGAGCCCTTCCGCTGACGTGGACACAGGACAGGACACGGAGCGATCAGATGCTCATAGGGTATTGTCGACGACGACATGTCTGACCAACCAGGAGGACGACACCCCACCCTGTCCATACCATCTTGTGGTGGCGCAACAACTAACGTATCCGAGCCACCCTTGTTAATTTTGGTTGCATCCGAGCCACAACCCACTAAAAGTCACGGGGCGACCACTAACCGAGGCACCTCGGCGAAGTTTGGATTAATCCGAACCACACCGACGGCAAATTTGGATTTGTCACATGCTCAGACGGTATTTACGACGTCGCATGTTCTGATAAACGTGAACGACGAAATGACACGCTGTCAACAGACCGTGCCGTCCATCCACCGGTCCCCGTCTCGGATTAATCCGAACCACATCTCCGACAGGATAGGGTCCACCCTATGCTCACAGGTCATTGAGGAAAACACGCCATGCCGATGGCCTCCTCTTGTGGTCGGCCGTTTTTGTCTCGCATTGTGCTAATTCGTATGCATCCGAGTCACAACGCCAGACTTTCGACTCTGTCCAGTTCGGATGTGTTCGAACACCCCCGCTGTCTTCGTCTTCGACCATTCGCTCTACGAAAGGCAGTCTGATGACGAAGGTTAACGATACCTCAGATTCATGCAACTAAAATGAGTCGAGATGGTGACGCTCGGGTGGAAGAAAGACGAGCTCGAAACTTGTGCTGCGACTACAACAAATGTGTCTGTTGTTTGGATTGGGCGAGCAACAACCAACTAGAACTCACGAGGACGACGACATCCCCCGTGATGACGCACAAATTATAATGACACACTATGGCAATTGCGGGGAGGTCCGGTGTGTGGTGGGGCGACAACAAACCGAAGCGCCTCGGCGAAGTAGGATTAATCCGAACCACACAGATGGCTTGTTCGGATTTACAACATGCGCAGAGGGTATTGACGACATCGCACGGTCTGACAAACTTGTACGACGAAAGCACACGGTGTCGGCGCAGCCTGTCGTGGTCGCACGTATGGGGACAGCCCCTGTCGAAATCGGATAAATCCGAGCCACACCCGTCTTAAACGCTCAAGGACGAAGACACACCATGCGAAATTCGGGTGGACCCAAGAAAAGCTGGGGAATAACGGAAGCTTGGACGACTGGATGGGCGTCAACAGACCGTGGGGTCCATCCGCCGGTCCCCGTCTCGGATTAATCCGATTCACATTTGCGAAGTTCAGGTCCAACCGAACCAAACCTCCGGCAGGATAGGGTTAACCCTGTGCTCACAGGTCGATGACGAAAACACGTGCTGTAGATGGTGCCCTCTTGTGGACGACCGTCTTTGGACCGCGCTGTTCGAATTCGGATGCATCCGAGTCACAACCGTTACCGACTCAGAAGGACAAGAAAACTCGAGTTTGGTTTGGTCCAGGCTGCAAGGGGGTAGTCCACACCACTTTGGAGCTTGGATGCATCCGAACTACACCGGCGAACTTTACAATCCGCTTGTCGACTTCGGATGACACCGTATCACCACGGGGTGCTCGTCTTCGTCTGCTGTGTCAGCGTTCTAGTGCCTTTTTGCTAGGTATTGCTTTTCCCGGTGCAGGTGCCTATGCGACGTCGGTTTTTCGACAGCGCCTGCTTCGGATGTATCTGATCTATCCCGCAGTCTTCGTTTTCGACCATTCGTTCTCTGAAGGGCATTGTGACGAGGATGGCTCACGATGCCTCGGATTCATCTTGTGTATACACCCGTACCAATACGGCCCGTCTGTACGGTCGTACGTCCGTACGTACGGGCCCCCCGGTGCCCGTACGGCCCGTACGTACGGACTTTGGGCCCTC